CCATTATCTTTCCTGTATAACCCAAGAGAATCACTTCTTGCCTATTTTTATTCTCATACAACACCACTCAGTAACCCTTTACCTTGAGTGGCTCTTGAGCCTTGTACTGGTTGAACATTAGTATAAACCCAAAGAAAATGAAAGCTCTGATTTATGTAAATGTGTTGTCACAATGTTTCGGGCATTGTGCTCTCCGACCTTCATCAGGTGTTTGCCAATCTGAATAATTGTTGCACCGGCCTCTAACACAAGGGAATTACACCGGTTCTCACTATATATAGTGTCAGTAACACCTACCCGGTATAAGCAGCGACAGTACTACAACTGCCTAGCTGAGTAGTACCCGTTTCCTACCTTTGTATCTGTGATGTTAAATACACTTGTTCTTTAAACCAACTTCGACTTGATTTTCTTATTTTTACTATTGTGCCACGACACAACAATAATCTACAGGGAATTTTGAACTGAACCCTTTATTTAATCTATGGGGATAGATTGTTCTCATTCCACTGCTCATGTCTAGGGATATCTCAACTAGTTCTTATTTTTAGTACTTCTCTGTTATTGCTTGCTCTGTTTCCAATAAATCCAAGTACATACTACCCGGGTCATGGATTGAACTTTTACTATGTCACCAAATTGATGACATGTCAAGCTCAAATTCCAACAGGTGACTGCATTCACTTTCACACAAATGCCCTTAGTAAAGTATGAATACATATCTTCTTCCTTATAAGTTTGGTTTTCTAGCTTCTACTGTTAACCTGGTGGAAGGACAACTCTGAAGTTGAGTGTGGGACTAGCAACTCCATCACATAAAAAAAAAAAAATGACCTGCTACAGAAACAACAGTAGACACACCTGGCATAGTAAGGCTTTGGTCCTATATTCCACAGAGGTCCACAAGAGTCTATGGAGTTAACATACAACATCCATTACTTTTTTTTAGTCCTTACATGTTTTTCTTTTTATAATCGCTAGGCTGTATTTTTTTAAATGTGCTGTAAAAATCGTCACATTCTTATTATTAAATATAATGTTTGACATTCTCAAAAACACATCTACACTTGTAATGGCTTTTGTTAATATGAAAGAGCTAATATGATATGAGTATGAGGATGAAGGCACAATGTATGTAAACAAAAATTCAACAATCAGATACTTTTATTTTTAAGTAAAATTTAGTAAACACTAATTCTTGATTCAACTAAAGGAATAGTCAGCAATGTGAGTAAACAAAACAAAAAATAAAGAAGCTTCCTCCAGTTTTAATACGATAATTATAAAATTGAGGACAGTTAATTCCAACAGGTGATTGCATTCACTTTCACACAAATGCCCTTAGTAAACTCTGAATACATCTCTTTTTCCCAATCACTTCCTCTTCGAGTCTAGGGTTAACCGTTACCTTTCCTGCATAGCACCATAAACTTCACTTCTTGCCCTTCCTTACGCCCATAGAACACTACACAGTAACCCTCTAGCTTGAGCGGCTCTTGGGTTTTGTATTGAATGAACATTAGTATTTTTGTTATGTTAACGAACACTCGTTACCTCTTTTGTAATGCCAGCGAATACTTGTTGTCACTTTGTAGTAGAGACTTTGTAATCACAGATACAACTATAGTGACGCCGTTGAACAATACTGGTGTCAGACGCCTTCGAATAATCTTTTCTTTCTATGTGCCGTGTACTTTCAGGACGTAGGCGATCATGGCTCTCCGCCTCCTTCTATCCCTTGCAGTTCTCAACAAGTGCCTTCCCTCTGCCACCTCCCCCAGACCACGTTCTGTCATCCACTTGCTTAAAGCCGGTAGGTATGTCATGCGTTGTTTTCCCTTGTCTCTTTTTCCCTTTATCCGACCTGTGAGTATCAAATTCTCCAGGCCCTCCTTCCTCATTACGTGCCCCAGAAACTTCAGCTTTCTCTTCGTGATATTAAGTATAAGCCTCCTCCTTGTTTGCATGCTCTCTAAGACCTCATCGTTGCTCACACGCCCGGTCCATGATATCTTTCGCATCCTTCTGTAGAACCAGATCTCCGTCGCCTCGAGTCTCTTTTTCATCTTTGAGGAAATCGTCCAACATTCGCTGCCGTATAGTGAAATAATAATAAAAGAAATAGTATAGTGAATAGAGTAAAGACATTGTATAGACTAAAAAAGGCGATTCGAATAATAATAAAGGATAGAATAGAAATATGATCCATTAGACACACGCTACCTCCCATATATGCGTTTCCTCTACGGTCACGTGATCCTTTTAATTCAATAATGGCTTCGCCTGTGTTTGCGATCTATGTTCAAACTCAAGTGTCGCCAGTGATACTTTATTTCTATATAATAAATATTAAAAAAAGATACGGTCATTAACAAGAGATTAACGAACTCTACTGACATTTTGATTTTCATGGACCCTCAGAATAAAATCTAAACTATTCAAGAGTACTTTCTTTATGTCTCAATCAACTCCTCTCTTGATCGACCTCGTGACGTTACAATGTTCTTCAAAATATTCAATTACTATTTCGTTGCCAGTCGCTTCGCTGAAGACAAGATGATCAAATTTCAACTCTAAACGTTTTGCCTATTTAAAGTAGATTTATTAGGAAATATATTCAGTTTAATTACAGGAGGAATCATAAAAATGACTTCAGACTGGTTGTTGCCACCAGACAGAAGGGGAAATAACTCTTGCGACACAGATGAGCATTTAAGTTTCATTCAAATAATATATGCACTTCTGCGTGTATGATTTAACTCATTGCCAAAAATAAAAATATTCCTACAAAAAGTAAAAAAATGAATACCGTATATTTCCACGTATAATTGCGACCTGGAGATAAGACGAGGCCCCAAACCTAGGTAAACTTTCGTGATTTCAACTGATACCTGTAGTATAAGACGACCGAAAACATAGGCTAGCCTCTGCCTCCAGTATCATTTGTCAGGCCTTTTTCTACGATTATAAAATAAAGGTGATGTTATTTGTTTATGTTACCTGTGCATGTTGCTCAGAAGAAATTTTGCAGATTTTTGCGCAGTCATCTCTTGAATATTGCATTTTAATGTGAAATGAAAAAGTAAAAGTAGTTTTATTTATTTATAACTGTAGTAGATGCTCGGATTGAGGAATCGGAGAGCCGAGTTCGAATTCCAGTCGAATCCATTACATTCACTTACGTGCTAATACCCTTGGGAAAGGTGTGAATCCTCCTCTTCTCCCCCTCCAGCTATGGGTAAATAGCAGGACAGATCGGATTCTATAACCTTGGATGGCAACTGGTCAACCGCAGAAAGAAATGGCAACCTAAAAAATCTGCTTCATCAGTCATATATCGAAAGATACATGATCGCCTAAGCGTGTATGACTGACAGCATCATAATGTGAATTGTTTCAGCTGGAAATATTTACAATGGTTGTTACTATATCGAAGCAATGCAAGCCTACTAGCCTACTTACCAGTGACGATACACCACAGGATTTAAGGTTAGATTTTTGTAACTGTTGTATTAGATGATCCCTCATTTTGCTTGTGGGGGGGGGGTAATTTTTAAGATTTAAAGGTCGCCTTATGCATTGAAATATACAGTAAATAATTCTATTTATTACCGAATAATTTCCGTAAAGTTAGATAAAATCTTGTAATTATCTTATATTTTATGGCTTAAAAAATTAATTTTTTTATCTTGTCTCCAATTGTGATTTCATTGCTCAGCTAAGAGCAGGAGATGCCCAGACTGGGAAGGGAATGTATTATTCCAATGTCTGGTTTGTCTCAGTCAACTTATATGTTTATCTGGGAGGGCATTCAGTGGCACAAGCGCATGTAAGTCGCTTATGCGTAACATAGACATACGCATATACATCAAATACAGGGACACCTCGAGGCGGTGTCATGGTTAGCAAGCTTGTCTCGCTAGAACAATTACGGCTGAGTAGTGAGTTCGATACTCACTGGGTGCCCCACACTTTCGGCCTTGTGCCACATCTGAGCTACGCTTGGAAAATCACTATATGGGCACCTCGGCGTGGTGTAATGGTTAGCAAGCTTGTCTCGCTAGATCAATTACAACTGAAAAGTGAGTTCGATCCTCACTAGATACCCCATACTTTCGGCCTTGTGCCACATCTAAGCTACGCTTGGAAAATAACTATTGGGCACCTCTCAGCGGTGTAATAGTTAGCAAGCTTCTATCGCTAGAACAATTACAACTGAGTAGTGAGTTCGATCCTCACTGGGTGCCCCCTACTTTCGGCCTTGTGCCACATCTAAGCTACGCTTGGAAAAGTAACCTGGGCGTGGTGTAATGGTTAGAAAGCTTGTCTTGCTAGATCAGTTACGACTGAGTAGTGAGTTCGATCCTCACTAGGTGCCCCATACTTTCGGCTTTGTGCCACATCTGAGCTACGCTTGGAAAATCATTACACATCAAATACAGAGTCACACTAAGATCTACTTTTATAGCATAGAATACTAACATTTTGAATGACGTCATGTTTTTGCTTGTAAAGTTTTTGTTTCGGAAGTGGGTGCATATTTTTAAACAAGGCCGCATCTGTCGAACGCTGAGCGAGAGTCAAATTCGATATGAATGGATCGCTTTAAAAACGCATCAGAATGACATTACTGATTTTGAATCAATAAAATGATATCAACTCGAATTAATCTGATTCAAATCAATAATGATTGCCCCAATTAATCGCCAAGCAAGACCTAAATATTTTCATTGATCCCAATTTCATTCTTAAAGTGCTCTCTAGAGCTAAAAAAGAGACGTAAACTCCTCCGGGTCGTGATAAGAATCATTGGGCTTGACTACCTTTTACCGGGCACGCTCAGGAAAAGCATTAGCCTGCTTATTAAGTAACTTTTCTTTGTAACGAAACAATTCAATTAAATTTCTTAATCTCCTTATAGATGAAGAAGAGACTTGAGGCGACAGAAATGTTCTACAGAAGGATGCTGAGAATCCCATGTACCGAATATTTGAAGCCAACAGCCATATCACGTAGAAACACCGGTTGTCATATGGTCACCAGAGTTAAGAAACGTCGAGCTTGTTCAGTACTTAGATGGGTGACCGCTTGGGAATACCAACTGCTGTAAGCTTCGATGTCTGGGTGGTATAATGAGCTGGCGGCCATATCACGTTGAAACACCGGTTCTCGTACTATCACCAAAGTTAAGCAACGTCAAGCTTGGTCAGTATCTAGATAGGTGACCGTTTGGGAATACCAAGTGCTACTGTTGTAATGGATAACGGCTCGGAGTTGGAAATCAGAAAACTGAGTTCCAATTCCAGTTAGGTTTATTATATTCATTTACGCGCAAACTGGGAGAATGAATCCACCTTCCCACTAGCTATGGGTTAATTAGTATGACTTTTATCAGTAAATCATTATTATCTTCAAAAAATTCTTCCACTCTAAAAAAAAATATTTTCTGGCTTTAAATAACCTGCAAGAGGTTAATAAGCCGTAAACAAACAAGTCAATCAACTGAACCTGTGAGCAACGAGGAAGTTTAAGAGAAGACTGTTATGGGATCTTACCCATAATAATAATAATAATAATAATAATGGACTATTCCATACTTAATAAATACTGCACCTCAGGAGTAGGCAAGGAGTCAGTCAGTAATTCACTTCTGAACCGACTGTTCGGTTGAACTCTCTGCCTTCGGGCGGAGAGGAACCCGAAGGAGGCTACGCCGAGGGGCAGAGTCTCGTTCGGGGAGGTAAACCGGCGCTGAGCCCGTTTATACGGGTTCAATGGGCATATTTTTGGGCCGAGCCCACGGGCTCGGAGTTCCCACGTTAAAAAACCGGCCTTGTGCCACATGACGCCCTAGTTGGGGAGGGGGTGACTGAATATCGTCAATCAGTAGTTCAAGTCGAGTCAGTAGTTCAAGTCGAGTCAAGAGTCGAGTCAGAGGCAGTCCGAAACAGAATCGCGTTCAGACAATTACTGCAAGACATTGGAATAGTGATACTGGTCGAGACTACATTGTTCTCTCTACTAAACCTGATTGTTCATACTAACACTTCTACTTCTCTGTATATATTCCTGTTTGTAATATAGATGTGTTATTCCATATCTGCCTTCGAGTTCTCCTTTATTGGTTCTACCTTGGACTATCACCGTGGTACAAGGAACCAGACCATAACAAAAACCGAAACAAAAAAAGACACTTATACTTAGAATCCGAAAGAGACAAGTGAAATATCTAGGGCACATAATGAGGAAAGAGAGCTTGGAAAATTTGACACTCACTAGTGAAGACAAGAGAGACAGAGAAAAGCAACGAATAACACCTAACGAGCTTATTGAAATGGTTGGCAGAACAAGGGGGATAGCAAAAGAATAGTCTTACTAAGAGCCAAAAAGAGTAGGAAATTATGAAGGGTCATAATCCCCTTCGTCATAGATAAATAGCAACAAAGACAAACGCAATGTCGTGTTTGAATAAAGTGACAAACGTAATTAAAATAAGATGATGTTATTTATTAAATTCATAGCAGCATGTCGGTATTAAATGACTTCAGAAGAGAGAACTAATAAGCTGACTGACGGGCAAATGGGATAAATGTGTAACGCATTTTTTAACTTAATTACTTATAGTCCGTATAAGTGCGACAAGTTTATAGGATAGGTGTAGTGGTAGAAATTGTAGATTCAGGACATCTCTTAGGCTCAGCAGTTGGTTAGTTTGTTCGTACTTGAAACTAGAATAGATACTGTTGCTTACTTATTACCGGCTAAACAATGTACCGCAAGAATTTGTGAACAGGGAACACATAGGTAGTTTCAAGACGCTAGTTGACGAGTACGGTTCTGCTCGTGAAGTTTGTGCGAAAATTATTTAATTAGACACTGAGGTAATTGGAGAAGGAGGAGGTATAGTTGTTAAAATAGAAACAACATCCCTCAAGAGCAAGCAATATATGGAAAGAAAAGAAGAATTTTTCTCACTTATAAAAAAAAAAAAAAAAGGCTTGACTACTATATTACATTTCTTCTCCGTAAACCAGCCAATCAGTTTGTTTTTTTGTTTTTTTTTTGTTTTTTGGGGGTTTTTTTTCTGATGAATTCTTTTATGAACAGTTTTCCTTCAGGTCGTTGGTGATCACAATTTCCTGTCCTGTATGGCTCTTAATAAATTTTGTCTAAGAATTTCATAAATAAAGGTTGTTTCATTAAGATGGATTGTATATAAAGGTGTTTCATTAAGACGGATCAAAGCCAGTAGTAAATAAATCAGTGTTATTGGTGGAAATTTAATTATTTTACTATTGGATCATGTTATTTAAGTCATGGCAATTATGTGTGAAAAATAATATCGCCCAAATGTCTGCCAAATCTGAAAGAAAAAGACAAAAAATCATTAGACGCTTAAACTTAATTCACATTTTAAATCGGTCCAAGTTATTGGAACACTCTTTATTATCTTTTTACATTATTTACATGATAACTAACCACTGATACCAGGAATTAGCTTACAGCCATCTCACGTTGAAAAACCGGTTCCAGTACGATCACCGAAATTAACCAACGTCGAACCTGGGTCGGGAATATCAGATGCTGTAAACTTGGATGTGTGGATGGTGTAATAGATAATGAGTCAGAATTGTTCATCAGAGAGCCGAGTTCCAATTCCAATTGGGTGCGTTATATTCCCTTACGCGCAAATACCTTTAGGATAGGTATGAATCTACCCCTCCCCCAGCTATGTGTTAATTAATACGACTTGTATCACTAAATCATTATTACAAAAAAAAAAAAATCTTACAATTTTCTGGCTTTAAAAAACCTGCAAAGGGTTGATAAGCCGTAAAAAATGAATCAACCAATCAGACAGAAAATATCTTTTTATTTTATTATTTTTATCTTTTTTCATTATTTTTCGAGCTTGATATTAATTTTGTAATTGCTGTTTAGGAAATCGAATTCAATCGTTTCAAGTAAAGAAAAAAAGATTTTATCTAAGAGAGCGGACGATATTGATTGATTTGGATTTCTTTACTGCTTATCAAACCTTTGTAGGTTATTTAAAGCCGAAACATTTTGGATTCTAAGAATAATTCTTTTCTGTTTTGTGAGTGAATATTGCATTAGCAATTTTTTTAATAATAATAATTCTTCCAGACACAAGTTCTACTTATTTAACCCACAGCTGCGGTGGGGAGATGGATTCATACATTTCCCAAGGATATATGCGCGTAAGTGAACGTAACAAACCTGACTGGAATTCGAACTCAAACCTACAATTTCGCATTCCGTGACGTTACTCAATACATCAAATGCACACCCAAGATTTGCTTAAGCTGGCCTAGTAAAGCCGTATTCCTTGTTCTTGAAAGTAGGTTTTAATTGTTATAAGAATAGCCGAGAGAAATGACTTTCAGTCTTAAGTATAGTCTTTCTTTCTTTCTTTCTTTCTTTCTTTCTTTCTTTCTTTAATGTCTGTTACAATAAGAAAGTGGATTGAATACTGTTAAAATCTACGATATTCTTTTACAATATCAACATTTCCAGTTTAGAGATCTCGGTCAAGCTATGTCAGCCTATTATCCATTCATGCAACAATATTTCTTATCGGGATACCTCATGTTATTCGAGGCTGCAGCTGACATTACTCTAAAAAACACTGTGAGTAGCGAAAGGAAGTGAATGGGGTGGGGCATAATGAGAAAAAATACGGCGAAAAGAAACAGGTAGGCAAAAAAACAAAAAAAAAACTTGATCTGAACATTATATTCACAAATGTTTTCCTGCAGCTCTTAGAAGTACAAAATGTAATACAATGAAAAGCAGGCACAATTAAAACAGCACGACATAAAAACTACAGTAGATGGTAATACGAAGAGAAAAAAATGAAAACAGAAAAAAGTACTATAGAATGAAATAATCGGTTATTGCTCTCCATTCATCAGAACTCGATCGGAGAAATTAAAATACCTGATTACAAAAAAAAGGAAACACAAAGAAGAAAATACACATGTATTAATAATACAGGGTTCAGCAAGAGTAACGTCCTTTAAAAAAAAAAAAAAAAGAACTGAGATGGATAGAAAGACGTAGAGAAATTGAGTGACCATCATGATCACCAAATCTAACACCACCAGATCTTTTAATATGGAACGTACAAAAAGATCTTGTTTAAAGACTCAAATCAAAAATATTTTGTGAATTAAAACAGGCAATTAGTGAAAAAAAAATTCTGAAATTAATATAGAAATGTGTCAAAAGGTTTGCAGAAGTGTTGCTAATAGAATTCAAGTTGTATTGAATATGAAGGAAGGGCTCGGTCTCACGTTGACTGCTGACCGGAGATGGAACAAATACATTGAGTCAATTGCTTCTTCCACCGCGAGGAAAGTTGGCTCTCTGTGCCGCGCCAGGAAATTTTTCTCCACCGGAATCGATACTTCAAATATACAAATCAACCATTCACCCTTGCATGGAGTATTGCTGCCATATATGGTCTGGGGCACCTTCTGTTTACCTCGGAGTTCTTGACAAGATCCAGAGACGGATATGTAATATAATTGGCCCTGATCTGGCGTCTCGTCTAAAGTCACGCTCTCACAGACGCGCCGTCGCCTCTCTGTCTTTTTCTACAAATACTTTCATGGTAATTGCTCCGATGAGCTGCTTTCACTGGTTCCCAGACTCCATGAATTCAAGCGCCCTACGAGGCTGGCATCCCGCTCCCACCCTTACACTGTCGAAACTTTTAAATGTAGCCGTCTCTTCTACTCCAATAGCTTCATACCTCACACCTCTCGCCTGTGGAACACCCTTCCCAATTACTGTTTCCATGAGAGCTATAATCTCCAACTATTCAAATGTAATGTCAATCGACATCTCCAGTTATCTTGATCTATCCACTATCCTTCTCCTCATCCTTTCTTCTATCACTCCTATCTGCTCTTGCTCCAAATCTTCTGCAACCCCCTGCATCCTAGTGGCTTCACGCCTTGCTTGGGGCGTAATGCTTTAAAAAAATGTTAAATAGTTTATTAATCATGACAAATTCTTTGGCACTTCGACGTGGTGTAATGATTAACAAGCTTGTCTCACGAGATCAATTACGACTGAATCGTGAGTTCGATCCCCACTAGATGCCCCATACTTTCGGCTATGTGACACATCTAACCTACGCTTAGAAAAAACACCAAAACAAATCATGTTACTTTAATGTGACAAGACTTACAATTTTTTCTTAAACTACTGTAATTTATTTTTGTTCAGTAAAACTTAATAAATAAAAAAGGAGCTTTACTTTTGACACACTCTGTATAATGACATGAGTAGATCTATAAACAGATTATACTAAGCCCTAACAACCTATTCTTTTGTTTGCATAATGATGGCTGTCTTGATTTAATATAAAAAAATATTTATCCCGAAAAATAAACGATGGCGTAACAGTTAAGAATACAGAAAATGGAATCGGTAGTTCAAATTCCGGCCAAGCCTTTTGCGTTCACTTTCCCCAAATGTTCTTGAGAAAGTCCTTCCCTTACTCCAGCTTTGGGGAAAATAGTGGGATAGACTGGGCTCTCTAGTCTTGGTTGACGGCCAATCTAAGGGGGAGGTGGGGGGAAAAATTGAATTCAAACTTCAAGTGGAGAAGGCAACGAGAAAAACAGCCCATTTTCTTTCCTAGGAAGAATCATAGCAATAAACTGATATTAATGAAAGCACTGTGGAGAGATATGATCTTGTACGTGCTGAAGGGAAACGGTGTTTAAAAAAAATAAAAAATAAGAAGATACGGGGCAAATTAAGAATAAATGACAGGTAAGGTAGTCTTCCTAAGGAATTTTAAAATACGCCCACACCTTTTAACACCGTGAACCAACAGACTCTATTATGATACAAGAAACAAAGGCAAAAGATTATGCAATAATAGCTCTGAATTAGATCGATAGGCTCAAGCATATATATATATATATATATATATATATATATATATATATATATATATATATATATATATATATATATATGCTTGAATCTAAATACCACATACTTGTATTCTGATTGGTCATTATAGGTTACGTAACAAAGTTTTCCCTATTAAGGGGGTTTGGTTGGCTTTTAAACTCTTAAAATCGTTTATTTTACATTCAACATCATTACTTGTTAAGACACCAGAAGTGTCAAAACAAAATTGCAACTTTTGTAGTGATCTTATAACATGTATATGTTATAAATTTGAATAAATATTATTTAAGAATAATGTTTTTGCTTATTGGAATTTTATTCCGTGTCTACCAACACTGTACTTGTGTGTATATATCTGCAAAATGACTATATGAATAGACAAAAGGAAAAATTATCCTAGCCGATGCTTTTCATCCTCTGGTGGACTTTATCAAGGTAAATGCATAGATTTGATTTTGCCACAAGTAAAAATGTTAGTTTTAGAAAATCTTTAAATTTAAGAGACATTCATAAATATCCAATAGGTTAACTGAAAAGTCAAGGTAAATTATGGAAGACTCTTATCAAAATATAAATCTGCACCTTTTTTTTTATCAAATATCTCCTTTCCTGAAAGAATTACTGCTTTCCTAAGCCAACATACATGACTATAAAAATGTTAAAAAAACATTAAGAAAAAATGTTAAATTCATAACCCCCTGTTATTTAAGATATATAATGCATAAATTAATCCCAAAGTAAAATAATTTAAATATTAATTGCATAAAAAAGAAATTTGAGAAGATGATTTACTCACCTTCACTTATTAAATTACATCACTTAGCGTCATCCATAATTTAAACTCTTTAAATAAGTTAATGAGCATCTCTTAAATTTTATTTTATTTTTTTATATAAATACTTGTTGCAAAATAAAATCCTTACATTTGCCATGATAAAGTCCATCAGAGGACAAAATATTTTTGCAAAGATAAATTTTCCTTTTGTCTTTATTCATATATATAAGATGAAAACAAATGAATATAATTCTACTGTTCGTAATATTTAATTTAAAAGCAGGCTCAATACAGAGTAGAGCCAAATATTATTTATTATAGGAGATTAAAACAAAAACATGTTAAAAATCGCTACACAACAGCAATCGTGTTTCAACACTACAAATGCGTCTCCTCAGGCGATGATAAATTACTGGCAAATGTAACCAACGCTAAATTCAAACTAACCGAAAAAAATGTATATAGGTCATGGCATGAAGTTGTCTGCATATATATATATATATATATATATATATATATATATATATATATATGAAGAAGAAATATAGTCTTAAGATGTGCTATATTTATGGGATAAAGTGCTCAATATCAGAGATATAGCGTGTGTAAATATAAAAGTGAACATAGAATATCAGCACTTAGAGGTGACAGTTGCTTCATGCTAGATGCAGGTGGCCTGACGATTGCATCTAGCATGAAACAGACTATCGCCTCTAAGTGTTGACTTATGTTCACTTTTATATATATATATATATATATATATATATATATATATATATATATATATATATATTGATGGTTAGGCAATGTTTAACTTTCGTCCCCAAAAGAATGGTGTGACAAAGGTTGGTTATTCCTTGACACCGCTGTTATACGTTTAAAGCCCTCGGTAACATTTATTGTTTCATAAATCAATGATTAGAATTTTAATAAAACCCAAATATACAAAAGTAGTTTTATACATTTTCTTTATTCTTGAAAATGACAACAGACATATTAAATATTCTATTTCTTAGATTTCTTATTTACAAGAATAATTTTATATTTACAATATTATAAAAATGTGCAAACCAACTATAATGAAATATTTAGTATTTACCATTTTATACAGAATTAAATATGAAAACATATTTTTTATTCATAAATTTATAAAAGTGCCTGAACAAGAAAATTTAAATAAACACATAACGACGAGAAAATGTAATCATAATTTTTTTTTTTTAAAAAAAATGCATATTCCGGACATTTTATTTGATCTCACCACATAAATGTACTAAAATAGGTTGAGAGCATCTCTTCTTCTTACATATTTTGATGATTTTGTAAATTTTTGAATAAAAAGATTTCTTTTCAAATCGATTCCTTTATAAAATGGTAAATAATAAATCTTTATAAAAGATAGACATTTGATGATATCTCCTGATGAGTGGGCCGAACAATTATACAAAGGTTCGAAACTCCGAGTTGCTGAATATAACATCAATCAGATAATTGAGAAATTGTATATCTGTATTAATCCCCAAAGGTAGATAATAAATATCGCATTGTACTTGGTTCACATATTTTTATAATCTTGTATATAAACATTGCCGAGGGATTTAAAATGTATACAGTACTAGTGGTGTCAAGGGAATAACCATCCTTTTGACACACGTTTTCTTGTGGGAACGAACGTTAAACATTGTCGATAGCTATATTTAAGCAATTTTGTTTTGGTCATATTTTCGGAAAGAATAATTTAAAATTTTGATCGCCTTCTTTATTAAATGTAAGAATTCCGTTCTTTTTAAATAATTAAAAGCAAAAATATCCAGTGAAAGTTAGCACAAAATAAATAAAGCAATATATTAATCAGATCTCATCTATTTACTAATGAGAAATCTTTGTCATGTAATGCCTCATGTTGCCATAGCATTGGAATATTTTATTACTAAGTAGGAAAAATCAGGTTGCGCAACCGATAAAAATGTGAAGTTAAATTTTTACGGAAAAAAGTGTTTGCTTTAAATTTCAAAAGCATGAGAATATATTGTTTTGGAAAGAAGTGTAGATCAGGAATGATTTTTCAAGAATGTTGACATTTCTATGGGTCGTACAATCCGAAATTTCAGTTTTCCATAAAAACTAGTATTCATTCATTAATACTAGTTTTTATTCTTGACAGTACTATTCTTTTGTGACCTAAGATTCCGTAGACGTTTGTTCTTTGAGGCTAAATTTTTCGTCTCCCATTGAACCTGAAGTGAACTCTCTTCCCACCAAAATAATAATAAACACCACATAATCCAGCAACGAAAGTTAATATTTTTCTTTCTCTAAATGCTAAAAGGGCAATCCTTCACATAAGCGGCGTAAAATAATCTGTCAAAGTTTCACAAATAATTCATCACCTACAAAGCCGTGGAGTCGCCACTGAATCCTATCGAGCAACACAAGCCCAAATATGACAGTAGAATGCCATTTGGTAATCCTTCACATAAGCAGCGTAGTATAATCTATCAAAGTTTTGCTTCACTTGGCGTAAAATAAACGGTTTCATTTCGCCTTGTCACGTGTTAAACCAAGTGCTCCACAGTCAATCGTCGATCCGAATGAATTATTACCACGAGATAAAGAAAATTGGAGCTCGGTAATCATCTTAGGGAGCCTATAACTGTACTGCGTTGGTTAAGCACAATAACGGCCCATTCGAAACAGCCTACATTGCAACCGTCTGTTTGGGTTAAATGCCTATCAAGATGCAACAGATGGCTATCGTTGGTATTGAAAATCATGTAAACCTTGTCAAAGTGTCAGAGATAATTCTTTTTCTTTTCAGCATTTATTTGATGCTTAGTCCACTATTACTCGTTGTAATAATGTTTAATTGTAATAAATCTATATACTTTAGTCTCATTGATTTTACGCCATTCAGGGCATAGCAGTTTATTTTTGGTTGATTGATTGATTCTTTTCCTTCATTTTGCGGGTTATTTAAAGCCAAAATATATTTTAAGTTTGTAAGAATTTAAAAAAAATAATAATGGTATAGTGATACAAGTCGTACTAATTAACCCATAGCTGGGGGAGAAGAGGTGGAGTCATCTATTTTCCCAGGGGTATTTGCGCGTAAGTGAATATAACGAACCCAACGGGAATCGAAACTCGGCTCGCAGATTAGCAGTTCCGAGACATTATCCATTACACCATCCACACATTCAAGCTTACAGCACCTGGTATTCCCAAGCGATCACCCATCTAGGTAGTGACCAGGCTGGACGTTGCTTAACTTTAATGATCGTACTGGAACAGGTGTTTGAACGTGAGATGGCTGTAAGCCTTATCATAGATTGAAGACAAAGTTTAGTTATCAGTGCCATAAAAATTTTTTAAAGGCGGCAGTTTTTCAATGTGTCGTGGCTGTTAGATTTGTTTGAGTTTATGCTGTATAAGTGAAGGATTGCCACTAAAAGTAGAAAATGGTTGACCAGAATCACAAAATACTATGGTTACGTTTCTTCGTCCTAATCTTGAATGTTTTAAAATGAAGCTCAAATCTACTGGTTTCGCTGTAAATATGACAGTATCTTTCTATCATAAAATGTGCGCTGTAATCACAAATAAGTCTTGGCGTATTTTTTAATCGAAATAAAATAATGAAACCAAAAAGTTCGAACGATTTTCACAAGAATTTGATACTCTCACATTTCCTACGTCAATCTTTACAAAACGTCACATCAATACGAAATACAATAATAAAAAACAATGTAACATAACATTCACATTTAACTTCATCCCAACGATTGCTCCCCACTACCTTTCATTGCACTTAAAGCAGTAGGGTCAATCTCTCATTCCTGAGAAATTAATAGTTAGTTAGTTAGATAGATAGATAGATAGATAGATTCACAATCCTCCCCAGACATTTTAACAGGGATAGAAGTTTATCCCTGGTTTCGTGTTCAGGATTGGTTTTCCGGTTCCTTCTAAATCCTGCTTCAACTCTACACTTCTAACGTCTCAGCCTAAACTCTGAAATTTTATTTACTATTTTGTTCTCCTTCAACAGGAGTAGATATGTTCGCCTATCGTCTTGTTCACACTCTTCTCTGGTCTTTTGAACAGGAGTAGAGGTTTATCCTTTCTTTCCTCTTTAAGTTTGTGTTTCAGATTCCTTCTAAAGTCTTCTCATTCTCTTTCAATCCCAGCAGCCTCTTGGCATTATCGCCTTCGTCGGGTGTAAATTGTTGAAAAAAAAAAAAAAAAAAAAAGGTGAGAGAAGAAAAACACCAAAAGACAATACCGTTATAAATTATTATCGTCACTCATACATATGGAAACCCACTTTAAGCCTAGCCTTGAACTGATTTTGTCGAAGGACAATAGCATTAGAAATATATGCAATCTTTCACCCTCGCCTGTCCGAGAAATTTCATAGAAAATATGTGCCTTCCGACAGGAATCGAACCTGAATCGTCATATAGCCTGATGTGCTATACCATTTAGCTCATAATAGAAGGGTTTGGTTAGCAAAGTCAAATTACTGTTTTTAAACAACAAATTTCCCATAATTTCTCTCGAACGCTCATATCGGCTCGAAGCGTATCTTAACGTAAACAAATGACATCACATATTATGAAATAGACTAAGTCCGACAATTATTTTAACACAGAACCATCATACACCCTGACGTGCTATACCATTTAGATATAGAAGAAGCGCCTGGTGTGGGTTAGAGGTTCGATTCCTGTTGGGGACACATATTTTCTATGAAACTTCTCGGACATTCAGGCCGGTAAATGTAGTTAATACTGTTTATTCTAAACAGAGCATTTACTTAAAATATTTGTATCTATAAAAAAATAACGTATAAACAAAAAATATATTGAAATAATTGTCGGACTTACTCAGTTTCATTACACATATATATATATATATATATATATAATCTTTGCTCTGTCCTGGACATTGAGTTCTACCTGGATTCTATCCTCTTGGAATTATTTTATATATATATATATATATATATATATATATATGATTGCATATGCATGTGTATATCTACCAGTAAAATTATATATATATATATATATATCAAATAACTTGAATTAAAAGATAGTCATAAGTTAAACTATGGGGAAAATACCCCTTTTGACGCTATACGAGACGCACTTGCAGGGAGGGGAAAAAGAGAGAAGACTACATTTTTAAGCGAAGAGGCTATTCTGTCCTTCTTTAAATCAATATTTAGTGTAAGCTATCATAGATTGTAGAATATTAAAAAAAAACTGTCAAAGATGCATAATGTCGGCTTATACGCCCAACATGTCATCAAAGAGGATAATATTTGAAAGTGAAGAAACAGAAAATATATAATCTTCCCATTTTTTTCTAACTAATAAACCCAAAAGATGAACAGACAAGGTTTATTGATTTAAAGAGAAAATAAATAATTGATATGAATTAGCCAGTCACGAAAAAAAAAAAAGACTACTTGATCCTTTCTGATATGGAAGCGTTATTCATAACGGATTCGTTTCTTTCAGCAATGCATCTCATTAAATGCCATGTGTGGGTGGCTTGCTTTCATATCCTCAGGGAAACGGGACAAGGGAGCAGATAAACAGCAGAATTTCTATTTTCCGTTCCCCACAAGACAATTTCTTTTTTCTTTCTTTTCAAAGTTGAAAGCCTCTTTCTTTACTCGTTTCCTATTTAAACTGTTCGCTATCACTTTCAATTTACTTGGTAACCATCAAGATGAACACTGCCAGAAAAGAATGAATAAATAGAAGGAAAAAAACTAAAGTGAAAAATGAATTGACAATAGTTTTCCTGCAAAGATTTTTTTTTCTATTTGCAATAATAAAAAAAAAAAAAAAAATCTCATGAGGATGTGCAGGCATTGTCAAATATAACAAGATTGACATCTTCCCAATGTCCTTTGGCGTCAACAGCATTTGTGATAATCAAGGGATTATCCATAGCTGTTGAAATCTGTCGTGTTTGTTTTTTTATTATTTTACAGACAACATCTGCACTTCATGTCTAACGATCTTTGTACAGCTCCAAGGTGGCTTAGGTTTTAAATTCAGAATTGTCTTATCCGACGGGTTAGCAACGAAGGCTAGAGATCCCAGTCTACCCTGCTATTTAACCCAAAGCTGGTAGAAGAGAATAGGTAGATTCATGTTCCCCAACGGATACTTGCGTGAAAGTGAATGTAATGATCTATATTTCTGAGAGGAGGTATTATGTACACTATTTACATTGCTCGGACTCTCTTCCTCATCTTTGTTGCCATGTTTATCACAACGTTTCGGCCGTTGCACGCTCCGGCCTTCTTCAGGTGGTTGGAATGTCGAACTGAATCCTTTATTTCGCTCATTGGGGTAGACTGTTCTAGTTCCACGTGCCATGTCTAACGTCTCTTGTTAATTTCCCTCTCCAAGTCCACCGCCTTAACCAAAACTCACACACATAAAGGCGTTAGTTAGATCCAGTGACAGGACTCAAAGAGTGTGAGTTCAATACCTGATTAAAGCGGTGGAGAACTTGCAGAGGGGAATTAACAGGAGATAACTTACTTTCATTAGACATGGCACGTAGGCTCGGAACAGTCTACCCCAGCGAGCAAAATAAAGGATTCAGTTCGACATTCCAACCACCTGAAGAAGGCCAGAGCGTACAACGGCCGAAACGTTGTGATAAATATGGCAACAAAGATGAGGATGATAGTCCGAGCAATGTAAATAGTGTGAATGTAACGAATTTGGCCGGAATTCGAACTCCGCTCGTCGATTTGGCATTCCGAGACGATAACCATTACGCGACCAGAACGTGTTTACAAGTAATCTGAATATCAGGCAAGGGCTCGAGTTCTCTATATATCCAAAATCTAACACATATCCATTATCGTAGAATTAGCATTGTTTTCATTTCTAAACAATCAGCTAGTTCTGAAACTAAGCAAAGGAACATCATATTATGGGTTGTATCTCTTCATGATGCGTGCAATCATGTCTCCAGTTTCCTACCCTTTCTAGCTCTTAGTAATGTTTGTCTTTTTTACCTAGCTCGTTAGGTAGGTTACACGCTGCTTTCCTCTAGACTTTTTAAGGAAAGAGGGCTTGGAGAATGATACTCACGGGGCATAATCTACCCTGTGAGTATCAAATTCTCCAAACCCTCTTTCCTTATTATGCACTCGAGAAATTTCGACCGTCACTTTCTGAGGATAAGTGTGCTTTTTGTTCCCATTTTCTCTCAAACGTTGCCATTGCTCACATGTTCAGTCCATGGTATTTTCAACATGCTTACATAGAGCTTCATATTATCTCTTTATCTGTGAGATGTCTCACATTACAGGCTACTTATGTTTGGAAACTAAAGGATATAAACCTAGTTCTTGGCAACTCATGTTGTCAGTAATTCCCCCATTAGATGAACAGGTTAGGGTTAGTATTACGAGTACGCCCTGACGCCTGCAGTTTAAAAGCCGGAGATAAATTGTTGGTTACTATCTATGTGCAGAAGCTGTCATCATATTTTGCTATCTTGTAAAGGCAAAGTAGATAATCGAGTGGAGTAAGTAATTAATAAAAACTATACAATATCAAGTTTCAGGATATTATTTTACAGGCATAATACAGTTTGCTAAGTCACTAATGTCAGACCTTATAAATAGAAACAATTTCTTTTATGAGTAAAGTGATTGGAAAATGGAAAGAAGATAAGGCCAATTATGAAATAGCATTTGAAATAAGTAAAAAAATAAAATAAAATAAAATAAAAACAACTTTAAAAATGCGTTTCTTTTTATTTAAAAATGAATAAGGGCATAGATTCAATAATGTACTAATGTACTTCCATTTAAACCATTTATTTAGTAAAACTTATTTATGTGCATTTCTGAAAACAAAGCTCCAAACTATCACTGTATAAAGATCAAAATCATTCGTTAATAGAAGGTTACAACTGAACTGGTGAACACTGATTTGGAGAGAACATGGGACAAGTCTTTTTCTTTTATTCACCCCCCTACCAATCCAAAGAAAGTATACGCAAGAAAAATCGATTAGATTAGATTTTGAATTAAACTATTAAAATGACAAGGTTTACAGAAAAATTACATTTTTTTTTTCGTTATTTTAAACCCTTAAGGACATTCTTCTTCATAGATTGGTGGAACAATTGAGATATTTAATGTAAGATTTTAATTTATAGGTAGAGATAGGGAAAAAGATTGGGTGCAAGAGAGGGAAATGGGGGAAGAGGGGAGGAAGGAGATTGGCCAGCAAAGAGAGAGAGAGAGAGAGAAAAGGAAAGAGATTGGCCAGCAGAGAGAGAGAGAGAGAAAAGGAAAGAGATTGGCCAGCAGAGAGAGAGAGAGAGAGAAAGGAAAGAGATTGGCCAGCAGAGAGAGAGAGAGAGAAAGGAAAGACATTGGCCAGCAGAGAGAGAGAGAGAGAGAAAGGAAAGACATTGGCCAGCAGAGAGAGAGAGAGAGAGAAAGGAAAGACATTGGCCAGCAGAGAGAGAGAGAGAGAAAGGAAAGACATTGGCCAGCAGAGAGAGAGAGAGAACTAATCTTAAAATAAGAAAAGGATTTGGGATTTTTTAAACAGATCTTTTTCTTTCTTTTTGTCGTTTCTATTTCATAATTGCTTTGTTAAATCTTAGACAAAAATCAATCAGTTGAAGGTAAATTAAGATTACACAATCAAATTTATACAAAGACACAAAAAATAAATTTGCTCATTACTGTAATCTAAAGAATTTATCAAAGTAAACTAAGAAAACCAGGAGTTTAAAATCCAATAAATCTGAAGTTCTAATAAAGAAAATAATGGTAAATATTCCTACACTTGGATTTTAAAAAATACAAAAATCTACACAAATTATGGAGTGGTACAGTTTACATGTGAATTAAACCATGGAAATAGCAGCGATTATACTAATAAATTTTGTACGAATATAAACAGTAGTAAATAGTTGGTCTTTGTCAATATTAGGGTTGTAAAAAAAAAAAAAAACTTTACAAAATCAAACTTTTAACACTGAGCTATACCAATTTGGAGGGATGCTGATACCATTTAGGTATGATGAATTTTGAAAGATTTTCCTGAACTGACGTCATTGGAGGTTGGGAATGAAGAATGGTTAAAATGGGAAAAAAAAAAAAAATATATATATATATATATATATGTATAAATAACACATTTTAAATCATCAATTAATAACATAGGTGCAATGTTAGAAGAAGAAGAAAAAAAAAAAAATAACAAAAACTCAAAATTTAGTCTGTTTAAGTAGATTTATTACCAAATTGCATCTATCTTTACCGTATCTCAAGATTTTGTAATTGTTTTGTTTTTCAAAATGCTTACGATGTAAGTAATAAGGAAAAGCCATCTTGTTTTATTTCTTAATAGCAAAGAGTAACTATTTTAAAGTTGAATCCCCCCTCCTATTATCAGCCAAACGATCACACACACAGGCATACAAAATAAATAAAAATAACAATGAAGTTAGAGAAAAAAAAATTTAAAAAAATAAAAAACATGACATAATTATAAGAATAAATAAATAAATAAATAAAATAAAAACTAAACCAGCACCCAACAACATAATGGCATTCACCCATCTTGTCAACAGCAATTTATCTAAATTTAATTCTTACTTAGTGGTCTTAACTCCAACAGCTTATTTAATATTTACACAATATTACAGATTTTTGTTTGTTTTTTTGGGGGGACACCACTCAAAATCATTTTTTCTTTTTTGTTGTGGTTTTAAAGAGATTATATATATATATATATATATATATATATATTATTATATATATATATTATTGTTTTTAAAATAATTCTGCCCCCCTCCCCACACATACATGCACACACACAAAAAGAAAAAAAAAGGTAAAACTCATGCAGGATTCACACTATATATATATATATATATATATATATATATATATATATATATATATATATATATATGCTACAAACAGAGATACAAGAAAAAAATAAAGGGGAAACGGGAGGTGGGGTATTAAATTTTTTTTTTTTTTTCTGGTGATGACAGGAATGAGGTTATTGCGTTAAGGAATTGGAACCGTTTATTAGGACAGAACAAGCAGAATTATCTCATTGTTAAAACACAACGTAATAGCTTGATAGGAATCAATAAGTCGGACAGGGCAATCATTCTGGAAGGACTGCTGTGGATTTCACTAACATATTTACCATGAAACACCCAACATGTGGGTATTTTGTCATATTTTGAAAATATTTTGGGGGGGGATTGGGGATGAAATTAAAGTTAAAAATTTAATTTGTTGGGAGGTTGATATTCACACAGGGTGAATAAAGATTTTAGTAGTACTTGACAAAAGAAGCTTTCTACCAAAACTTGAACATTTTTCCTTCTAGTGTTAAATGTACATCTTGAATTTTGCATGGCTTTGCACCTTTCAGCAAGAATTCACATGCTGTAACCACTAATCTACACCTGCAATTGCCTCATCAATCAATTTGCAATAAGACCTTAAAATATTCAGGAATGGAATTTGTCTCATTGGTAAAGCCAAATTGCAGGTTCTAAATACACCAATCAATTAACATTCTGTAGTAAGTTAGAAATGTTTATGTAAGTATGAAAGTGGCTGCAGAGAAACATTCTTAATGATATATATATATATATATATATATATATATATATATATATATATATATATAAGAACAATATTGAGGAATTAGACAGTGGAAAAAGTGATGAGGTTTGTCCTTCAGGACTTCATCAGTCTAAATGTAACAAATTTAGTCCGATGAAGGACAAAACACAAAACTTTTCCCACTTTGTTATATAATTTTGCCTATATATATATATTATTTATTTCTCAATCACTGTTTACTTACAAAGAAAGATAAAAATAAAATTAGAACTGCATTTTTCCAAAGAAGGAAAATTATTATTTGTATATTGTACTTAATATAATGGAGTCAAGTTTATTTTGACTATACCTACTTAAACCTGCAAGGTAAGCAAAGAATCCGTTGGCTTTTACCTTTGATAGGTCCCTAAAGCAGGATTTGGTTAGAAGAAACAGCAGAAAATAGGCCATTTATTAAACTGATACATAACAATACTTTGGGATAAATTGAAAGCTATGGAGGGCCATGATATCCAACCGGGCTATGGTACCCAAGGACGGGAAGCTGGGTAAGTAATGCCAAACATAATTTGGAAACAATGAAATCATTAAGCAGAAAGGGATATTTTTAATGCAAATGTTGCTTCAAGCTGAATGAATAATCAAATATGTTCACTGCTACGTTGGTTATTTGTCCCTTACATAAATGCTACAAGAGACACCTGTGGTAGTAAACATGTTAAATAGGAATTTATCATTTTTATTTATTTATTTATTTTTTAAATAAATGAACTAAAAAATTTTAGCTAAGAACTTATAGGAAAAGAAATTAAATAAAAATAAAGTTTTCAAATGTTAAATAGACTGAAACAAAATGGTTGTTTAACAAAAGGTGGATAACTATGTAAAGTTTGCACTCCTAAATAAAATATGATTGAAAATTGATTTTGAAAAGATTGCGCAGGGTTTTTCTTTTAGTAGAGGAATTTTTTTTTATAACAACTCAAGCTTTCTAAAAACATCTGGATTTCTTTGTCTTTTGCATTGTCCAAACGATAGAAACTTGTGTAGACTGAACACATGTCTATCAAAAAAATATTAACAACATTTGACAAATAACAAAAGGACAAAACTTCTGTCACAGAAAAATGAATTCTGCCATCATTTTAATAATTTGCTTATCATCTAAATATTAATTCTATATATGGCTTTGAAGGAGAGTAATTTTATGTGATTTTGAAGGAGAAATGCGTTACTGTAATTCAAATTTTTGCAAGAGTTACTTTATTTTTTTACAGGTAAAATAACTACATCAATTTTATTTTCAAAATGTAATTAAGAAAGCTAAAAAGAAAAAAAAAAAAGTGTAAATAGGGATACCCAGAATAAATTATATTTAAATATTACTTACAACTCTTGTAGTTCCCTAAGCACAAATGTAAATATCACTGCTTTATACATGGATGTAAATTTAAACTATATATATTGTGTGCATAAGAGATGAGGAAAGGGCATCGTCAGGTAAAGGGTGGGAAGAGGTAGCATTAAAGTTATCTGCCATATAAAAAAAATATAAAAAAAAGTTAAAAATAAAAGTATTTTTTTTCTCCCCATTCTTAGCATTTTGATTGAAACCAATTTTTGCTTTATTTTTATTTTCCTTCTGAGCAGAACTCAACCCGCACCCATCCACTTTTGGGGACAGCAGCCAATTGACCATTAAATTATTATCTTATCCCCTTTCCCATAGTTAACCCTCCCCATTTTTTCTTTGTTTTTTTTTTTTTTTTTTTTTTTTTAAAGGTGCATCTTCTGTGCACTCCACACAAACACACAGGATGTGCATGCATGTGGGGGTGTGCGTAGGCGTCATTCACACTCGCACATGCGTGCATCGTCACAATGCAAATAACTCAACAACTGAGGCCAATAAATAGAGTTTATATTAATAAAAGTTATTTTTACTCCCTTTTTTCCTCACCTCTATAGCAAGTTTTGTATGTTAAATAAAAGTCCAGCAATAGCACACCACTATTATGCAGGGTTTGGTATTGTTTTTTCCATTTTTTTTTTCTCAGTCAGGATACAAGCTATGAGGGGAGTAGGGTGGTCAAGAATTTTTTTTTATGTAACTTGTAATCTAAAAAAAAAAAAAAAAAAAAAAAAAGAAACGAAAAAAAAAAAAGTATGTAAAAATGTAGACAAGCACACACTCACAAAACAAACAAAAAGAAAATGCCTTATTCAAAATTAAACAGTATTTTTTTTTGTTTTTTTTTTTGTAAACCAAAAGACATAGAATGAAATCCACATCGATAATAATTCTTCATAAAAAGTTTGGAGAAAAAGGTTTTCTTGGCTGATTTTTAAACCAGAGAAGGTAGTAAACTTGGTTCTTTCATCAAACACACATTTTTTTTTTCTTGCAGATTTTTCTCTGCAACAGATGACATCCATGTGACAGTCACTGAATAATTTTGTAGTTTATGCACTTATTAAAATTTATCAATGGAGACAGATTTGATCTTTGTGTTCTATGACTTCAGCTTGAATTTAGTACTAAAAGGTTTAAATAGGTGTGTTTTGTGGCAATAAGATATGGAGGAAAAAACTCACAAAAAGAAAAAGAAGTGGTCCTGATAATAAACATCATATATATATATATATATATATATATATATATATATATATATATATATGATGTAATAAAAAAAGTTAAGATGAGACATGAACAAAACAGAGCCTTCTGCCAGCGAGTGCCCAACTTCGTACAGAAAAATGATAATGTAGATTAAAAAAAAATAATTAACAAAAAGATATTTTTTGAAATTAAAATATGAAGGAAATAGTCCAGCTTTTCAGATAAAATAATCCAATAAAGTCAGTCATTTTCTTTTTTCCTCTTCTTGCTTTAAATATCCCAGTTTCTTTTCATATTTTCTTTTTTCCTTTTTTTCTTTCTATGTGTAAATAGGACCCCAGACGTTGTTGCTGCTCTGTAGTGTCCAGCTTGATGGAAGCAATTCGGAGAAGTCTCACCGACAAAAGGGAAGAGTCTAGGGTTGCAATCCATCATGGACTGGCAGTCAACTTCGCAACGTCTCTGTCTTCAGGGACAACGGTTCAGGCATCATCACCGGTTTCTGTAGAATGAGCAATTCACTTTTGTCTGCAAACCTTTGCAGAGCATCATACTTGCGCCGCAGTGAATCAAGTTCCATCTTGACAACATCATTTTCCCGCTGGAGCCGGTAGACTTCGGCACGGAGCTTCTCCCGCTCTATTTCAAGCTCCTCCTTTTGAGAGATTCTCTTCTCACGGCAATTGGCGGCATATCCACGATTCTTGAGTGTACGCCGGCGTTGCTTCAGCCGTGACACTTGATCTCGGTTTAGCCCCTTGACTAGCTGGTTGAGTTCCTTGACTGTCAATCGGACCAGTTCCTCATCAGACAAGTCAAACAAGCGGGCGTTGTCCGATTTAACTTGGGACAAAAAAATCTGGAAAAAGAAAAAAAAAAAAAATTAAGTTAAATAATTTAAACATTAAACAAAACAGGTTGTCATCAATTAATTTTTAATTAATGCTATGATATTACTAAGCGTGTGAGAGAAAAATAATTTTTGACAAGAAAATTATACTTATTAGTTCTTTAATATGTCATCGTTTTTCTTGTTCTGTGATCAACCAGTCATAAAAACTAAGAGTGAATTATTAAATTTGCATATATACACTTATAGAAATTAAGAAAGGTAAATAATTTAAGTTACCATTATTTACATTCAGACTAATGTCCTCATCTTTATTACCATCACAACATTTCGGCCACTGTGCTCTCTGGCCTTCTTCAGGTATCTGTCAGCCTCAGTATCCTTCAGGTAATTTCCGACTGAACCCATTATTTACTCTATGAAGATATACTCTGTGAAAACAGAGCAAGCAATAACTGAGCAGTGTTAAATAAGAACAAGACGACATATCCCTAAACATGGACAGAAGAATTAGAGCAATCTAATCCTGTAGATTAAATAAAAGATACGGTTTGAAATTTCCTGAAAATTACTCAAGATCCGAACCACCTGAAGATGGCCAGGAGGCATAATGGCAGAAATTTTATTATAATAACATTAGTCTGAATACAAATACAGCAAATAAAAGGCAAATAACTCAAATGTAATATAATAAATTAATGTTATATAAATGAATAAAGGTGACTTTTATACTATTAAACTGACAACCCAATCTCTGGGTTAAAATAAAATTCCATTAATTTTAATTTGGATGAAATCCAACTTTTCAACAAAGTTTTTAAAAGATGATGAAATGGAAAAAAAAAAAAAATTACTAAAAAAAAGAAAAATTCATTTTACCATTGTGTTAGTAATTCAGTGTTATTTTTTTTAACTTTTTAACCAAGATCAATGTTATTTACACTATTTATATTTGGACTGTTATCCTGATCTTTGTTGTTTTTATCACAACACATTCTTAAAGCATATTTGCTTGAATCTCCTTTTAAAAATTATATTCAGTTAAAAACAAAGAAACATTCAACTATTTTTAAACTGTTAAAGAGACAAGTTCACTTCTAAAATTTCACTCACTGGGTTATCTTGATATCCTGTGTGACAGATATTAATTAAAGTTGTACATTATTATTATTATTATTATTATTATTATTATATGTACACACACACAAACACTATCACATCAAAAAGGTGCACCAATCCCTTTCCTGAACAAGGAAGTTAAGAATATGGCAATAGAATAAAATGATACTTGTCCTATATAATGGCTTGTGGCAGTTTTATGCCTGAAAAGTAAGGATGGTCAAGAAGAGAATAGCCCATTGATGACCATTTGGAAATGAGCCATACACAAGCACATGTTTCTATGTGCTTCAAAAAACTAAGTCACTGTTCTTCGAATACCATACACAAAGGCATTTTATGTCAAACAGGATTAAAAAACACTGAGTAAGATAGATACGAAAGTAGACATGAAAGAGGTCTCTTTGTCTGGAGACAAATTTAGCTGAAGTCAGGCAGAGATGGGAGTGATGGGAAGATGAAGAGGATGGACATGTTCAAAACACAGATGGATAAACTTGTTAGTAGGGTGAGAGTTGAACAGATTATATATATATATATATATATATATATATATATATATATATATAATATATAAAGGGACAAACAAGTAACTCATTGTAGGGTCTTAAATTAAGCTGTTTTAGAAGTGAACCGTAGTTCTTTGTAACTGGGTGAACTTGTTGATAAAACCATTTCTTTCTTTCTTTCTTTCTAAAGAAAGAAAAAATAAATAATAGACAGAAATCATTCACACACAATACAAATATGCATGGATTCATACAAAAAGCAAATGTTTTATTGATAAACCCCGACTTTGCTTTTTATGCAAATTACCTGAAGGACTGAGAATGTTGTCCATTATTAAATCATTTTACAACCTAACACAAGCAAAATAGGATCACTTCTAATACATAAAATATGATACCATTTTCAATGGGAACGGGGAGTGTGTGTTTTATATAGACATATTTTCTTTTTTGTGCCTAGAGATCACCTGCTGCAGAATGATGGCCTATAAGATCAGCTCATGAGCTGTGTTGATGACATCATTCACTGCTCAGTGAATTCAAATATTGCTGAGAGCTGTCCAACTAATATTTACAGACATTGACTGGCTGAAATCGACAGACAGAAGTGAAACTAGAAATAGATACAAGATTTTTTTTTGTGCTTGCCTTTGTATAGTCACACACAGATATTTTGGCACTCCTTATACATTTATCACATATAATTCACTCTACTATTGATATGAATATCATTACCATTAAGTGCTGACTTGCCCATCCCTTGACAGGAAGTGAAAAAGGAGAGAGTGAGAGAAAGTGGATGTATATGGTTGGACAATTCTATCACTTAACCTATTTATTTCTCCATCCCTTTTCTCTTTCAGAAAGATTGCTGAGGTTTTAGTTTGCTCAACTTGATTGCAGATATGTCCCAATTTAGAATCAGCAACACACAAACACAAAACACCAACAAGATGGTTCATGGCCGTTTTCTCCCAATATAAATACACCTGTATAATTGATTAAAATCAGATACAAAATTTTGTTTTTGATATAAAGACAAATTAAATTTTTCTAAACTTAAATGTGTTCATTTCTGTTGGCTGCATGAAAACGTAAAGTTTATGTTTCAAGCAGGCTTGCAGAGTTCCTGAATTCTTTAACGGATAGGTGGGGGGGGGGGGAATACTCCTTTGTTTGTAACATCACTTGGTGGCACCATGGCTATTGATGATGAGGGGAGGGGGATTTTCAATTTTTAGTCCTCAAAACAGCTTTTCCTACATGTTCTCTCTATGCTATCCTAAGTTTCAATATCTTTTAATAAAATGAAGGAGATGCATGAAAAAATATCCCTCAGTCATTTATGTGCTATGCTTAGGCGATCATGTATCTTTTGATAGATGACTGACAAGGCAGATTTTTTTCCTGCAGTAGGTTGCCATTTCTTTCTGCAGTAGATCAGTTGCCATTCAAGGCTATAAAACCTGGACTGTCCTGCTATTTAGTCATAGCTGGAGGGAGAAGAAGAGGATTCATACCTTTCCCAAGGGTATTAGAACATAAGTGAATATAATGGATTTGACTGGAATTCAAACTCTGCTCTCTGACACCTCAATCCAAGCCACTATCCATTACTCCACAACCTCATGAGGTGGATAGATGATAACAAGAACCAATATGTGGATGACTTGATAGTGCTGTTCAAATGATTTTGTCTACCTTTTTTTTTTTTTACACCTGCTAAATTACAAATATAATAGAAGTATAATTTAATATCAATTAGTTTTCATTTTTAGTTTCTCCTGATATTAAAATGTATTAAACAAAGAAAAAAAATTAATCCCAGGTAACTCAAATAAATGAAGTCAATGGTAAATAAAGAAAGTATACAATTATATATTTTGGTGAAATATTTTTGTAGAAATATCAACTTTTGATAATCATTATATATTATATATACCTAACTGAATACATCCGGTTACAAGCTCATGACAGTTGAATTTGTTTGTAAAACTCATCTGGCCTTTTATCAGTTAATTCTATTTTATACTTGACAATCAAATAAAAGAAATGGAAACAGAAAACTAGAGAAACTGTTTATTTAATAAATTCAAAGCATTTTGCTTTTCTTAAGCTGTTTTTAGAGCAGCATTTAGTTCTTTCCTTCTTAACAGAAATGGTTGCTATCTCATTGCAATTTTGCTTCAATATACCTAACATGTGAAATGATTACATCATCATATTTCTTTGGAAAGTCTTTTGTAATATTTCACAATTCTAAAACTACCATATTCTACAAACACAGTACCTCCTATTTGTATTGCAATATCAAGGTAAATGTTCTTGCTACACCTGAAAGGATACCTGAGAAAGTTAAAATTCTGAATGAATAAATAAAAGTGGGGGAACTATTTCATGTAATCTTGTAAGAACCACTGACTTTACAAGTATTTGATTGTTAATGAAACAGCTCTAGTGTTTCCTTCACATATTCCAAATGTTTATGGATAATGAACCAGTCACCCCAATGTTTATACATTGATATTAATGACAAAGAAAAAAAGAATACCTTAAATTTCCATGCCACTATACCAGTTTAACTATAGGAACAAACGAAAAGAGTTTTTGTTATACAGTGGGTGAGTAGAGGTTGGGGGGAGGAGATCATACCAAAGACAGTACGAAATAAAAAAATAAAATTTATATATAAAATTCTGTGACTTTTGTTAGTCCATCACTCCCTCTAAAATAGCCATACATTGACCAATCAGGTAAAGCAGTACAATGTACAATTGATTTTATTAGGATGCATAGCTTAGTACAATAAATTTTCATTAATGTTTTTGGAACAATTAAAAGTTTGTCAAAGTATTTTTCCAAACAAATCAGCTTATTCAAATTTCATCGATTGGTTTTCGAAATGGAACGAAACAGAGTTTGTAAATCTTGACAAAAAATGTTAACTTCAGCAATAACAAATACTGTGAGGATTTCAATATGCATTAAAATGTTGCAAAAAAAATTCTAGTAAAATAAAAAATTGCTAGATTTGATTGCTTATTGATCGTATTACCATTTTCTACAAATATTTCTTGAAATAATTATACTGAGATTTGGGGGAATAAAGTTATTTGTGCATAGCAGTGCCAGATTAATCTAGTTCCAAAAATAACAAATGCTACGGACCCTGCATTAAACACTCAAGCTCTATGTTAAAAACACCATCTTGCAATCTCAATGCTTACTTGTTGGTGGAGCTGCATCTTTAATTAGCAATCATTTCAGGTAACATATCAAGGCTGTTAAATCTATTCAAATTTCTTGTTAGAATCATTTACTTCATGTTTTTTCTGGGTTTGTTTATTCATGCTGATAGAAATTAAATGTTTGTCTGCTCTT